GAAGTTCAGGAACCTATGTATTCAGGCGCCTTACACTTCCAACAGGTTCCAGAGTTTCTGCTCATTTTTTTAAAAAAACGTTCCCTCTGTTTCTCGGGTAGGATGATTGTGATCTCTGTTTTCAAGTTCACAGCTTCTCCTCTGCCTCTTCATTGTTCTGTTAAGCACTTACATTCATGTATTTGTTCCCTTTCTTTCTGCTTGTTTTGTGTAGACAGGGTCTTACTATTTAGCCCTTGATGGACTGGAACTCAATATGTACATCAGGTTAGCCTCAGACTCACAGAGACCCGCCTGTCGCTGCCTCCCAAGACTCACAACTAAAGGTGTGTGATCAAAGGTCAGCTTGCTGGTGTTTGTTTGTTTGTTTGTTTGTGGGTTTTGAAACAGGATTTTATCTAGGCCAGGCTTGTAGTCTCTGTGTCACTGAGGCTGTTCTTGAATTCCTGATCTTTCTTCCGGCATTCGCATCCCAAGTGTTGGAATTATAGTTATGGGCCACCGTGACCATTTTTCTTGCTTTGGTTTTTTTGAGACAGTGTCTCAGTATGTCATGATCCTCCTGCCTCAGTCCCCTAAATGCTGGGATCACAAGCCCGGACCAGCACACCTGTCCGATTCTCACGTTTCACCTATTCCGTTCTTCAGTGCCAGAATTTAAAGGTGGTTATGTGGTTTTCTTTTTCAGTGTAAACAAATATTTCACAGCACAGCTTCACAAACACTACCAGGGCATTTCTTCATATTTTATGGAGGGTTTGAAACAGACAGGCTTTCTATTAATATCCATACCGTACTGCAGCCAACTCCCAGACAGATACATTGCAGTTTATTTAGAATTTGAAGGTTTAATAGGAAAAAAAAAATCGAGGAAAAGGAGTAAGCTTGTATTATATAACTGATGGAAAAATAAATCCAAGTGACCATTTAATATAGTCTCATGTGACCTGAAGGATATGTTTTACTTGCTGTGTCCAAAGGAAAAAGAAAAAAGAAATGGAACTGTGGCTGCCAGGTCACAGAATCATCAGTCTTTCCTGACTGAGAGCTGCCAATCTCCTCTTTTTGATAGGCAGGTCTTTTATAAAACAGCTGTGCCTTGGCATTGTGGTCTATGTCTATAATTGCAGCACTTGGTGAGTGGAGGCGGACCACTGTGGAGTGGGCCACAGTGATAGTTACTCTCAATTGTCAATTTGTTGAGCTCTGAGGTCACTTAAGAGACAAGCCTCTGGGCACATTTGTGGTGGTTATTTAACCTCTGGCCATGCCATGGACGGGTTATGTAATTTAGGTTGGTTATTCATTTATTTGTTTGTTTGTTTATTTATTTATTAGGTTTATTAAGACCCTGTGTCATTTGAGTGAGAATGACCTCCATCAACTCGTATATGTGACTATGTGGTCCCCAGCTGGTAGAACTATTTGGGAAGGAATAAGAGGTGTCGTCTTGTTGGAGAACTTGCATCACTAGGGGCGGACTTTGAGATGTCAAAAGCTCATGCCATTCCCAGTTCTCTCTCTCTGCCTTGAGGGTGTGTCTCAGGGCTTGAGCTCCAACACCCTGCCTGCATGAGTGCTGCCACGCCCACCACCTCAACGGCCACAGGCTGAAACCCTCTGAAACTGCAAGCTCCAACTTTTTTAAAATCAGTTGCCTAGGTTATGGCGTCTTATCACAGCAATGGGAAATTAACTAAGACAGGACCACATTAAAAATGAACTTTAGAGGGGTGGGGCTGGAGAGACGGCTCAGCAGTTAAGAGCACTGACTGCTCTTCCCGGGGACCTGGGTTCAATTTTCAGTACCCACGTGGCAGCTCGGAACTGTCTGTAACTCCAAGATCTGACACCCACAGACATACAAGCAGGCAAAACACCAATGCACAATTTTTTTTAAAAAATGGACTCTGGTACTACACTTACCAAAAAAAAAAAAAAAAAAGGAGAATGTTAGATGAACACGAGCATTTGATGATGTCTGCTTCCTAATGGTGCAAGCAATGCACCTGTTGCTCCAAGATCTTGCTGCCTTGTGTTTCGTATCACGAGGGGCTGTTTCCTTGGCCTACGAGCCAACGTAAGCCATTCCTTCCTAAGTTGCTTTTGTTGATGTATTTTAAAACAGGAAAATTATAACCAAGGCATTTATATAGCCAGTTCAAGGCCATCCTAGGTTATATGAGACCCTGTCTCAAAAACAAACCGTATCAACAAACAATTGCGAAATCGAATTTGTGTGCCGTTCTTTCCAGTATCTGAGGATGACTTGATTTACCAAGTGAGTCAAGTCTTCTAGGATAGGTACATCCAAGAGTCATTGGTTGGTGTGTTTCCTCTGGAGAAACTGTCTATTTGGTCGTGGTGATGGTTTTGGTCATGAAGAACCACAGTAGCGGTAGACATGCCTTCTGATCTAATTTTGGCTACTGTTAAAGTTTTAGCCTTCTTGAATACTGTTCCCACCTTTTCTCCCTATTGTAAATGTATTTTATCCTTGCATCTTTATATGCTAAAACTCTCACTTATTGTCTCCAACACCTGTGTCGTTTTGAAAGATTATCTCTGTGTCTTAGGTTTCTAATGCTATGACGAAACACCACAATCACAAGCAACTTGGAGAAGAAAGGGTTTATTTTGCTTAGGCTTCCATATCATAGTCCATCATCAAAGAAAGTCAGGGCAGGAACTCAGAGGCAGAACCTGACGCAGAGGCCATGGAGGAGTGCTGCCTACTGGCTAGCTCAGCTTGCTTTCTTACAGCACCCAAGGCCACTAGCCCATGGGTGGACATCTTGTCTAAGGGGCTAGCCTGGACACTCAGGTTCCTGCCTTGCTAGGTGAATGACCAGAATCTCAGGAACAGGGTACAGACTGGCCCGTGCAGACTGTCAAGGACAAAAGGACAAGGCCAGCTATTGAAAGATGCCTTACATTAGCCATGGCTGCTTCCTTCCTGACAGGTTTGTCAAGGGCCAAAATGAATGCTCACCCTGTGGAGCTGAACAAACTCCGGCTTTCCCAGGAACTCTGTGTGACCCTAATAGTTACAGGAGGAAACAGGTTTCAGTGCTCCGTGGGAGCCCAGCCAAAGTGGCCCACTCCTCTCAAGATGACAATAGAGCAGGTACATGCCTATCATCCCAACATTCATGAGGCTAAGAGGTCAAAGCTAGCCTGGGCTACGGATAGAGCTTTTTTAAGTCTATCTCAAAACAAACAAACAGAAACGGACTCCGTGAGGTAGCTCAATACTGGGCACCTGTGTAGAATTTGCAAGACCTTGCGGGGGGGTGGGGGGAGAATCATCCCCAGGCGTGTGTGTGGTTGGGAAATGGCACAAGGGGTAGACTGATTCTCAATAGTCTGGGAAATTCTATGTGCCCTGATCCTTATTTTCTGCTATTCCCTCGAAGGCATAGACTATAGCTCTCCTAACCATGTTGTTGTTACTGCTGTCTGGTTTTGTTTTGTTTTGTGACAGGGTTTCTCTGTATAATAACCCTGGCTGTCTTGAACTCACTCCATAGACCAAGCCGGCCTGGAACTCACAGAGATCTGCCTGCCTCTGTCTCCGGAGCACTGGGATTAAAGGTATTTGCCACCACTGCCCAGCTCTCCTAACTTTTTTACGTCTGAAAAAACCCAAAGACGCTTGTCTTAGTCGCTGTGAGGAGACACCATGGCCAGGGAGACATTTAACTGAGGACTTGCTTGCAGGGTCAGAGGGCGAGTCCATCTTCTTCACGGAGGGGAGCATGACATCAGGCGGGCAGGCACAGCGCTGGGGAAGCACGGGAGATCGCCCACGTGATCCACAAGCTGCAGGTAGAGAGACGTCAAGACTGGGCCTGAGGTGGGCTTTGGAAACCTCACCCTCCCACATGGGAGCCCATGGGGGTCATCCCCATTCAAACCAGCGCAATACTCTGCGTTTGGGACGCGTGGTCGCCTTTTGTGAGAAGCCGCGCAGCCACATACAACAGGGAAGAAGGAAATGAGCCCTCTGGCTGGTGTGAGAGTCTAGAATGCGAGCCCTTCCCACACCTGCTTCCTCTAAGAACAGGATGAGCCGCCTCCTAACGGGCTTCCTAACCCTCCCACACTGACCAAGCCACCTTCCCTGGGAGGGTTCAGGGAGAAATCTTCTGGCTCAAGCTGTGGCTCCTGATACCGGCCTTACAGCTTGGGTTGACAGCTGAGGTGAGTCCCGAGTGACTCAGAGACACCTGCGCTGGGCCACAGCTAGACAAGGAGCCTCCCGATGTGGGGAGTTGGGATTCAAAGGACAAAGGGCATGGACTCACCCATTCTTGACCAAGAAGGAGTGGAAAGGAAGGCTCAGGCTCATGGGTCACAAACTTCGAGTTCTCCAACAGGCAGCGTGGTGACGTAAGTGATGGGGAGAGTCGATTAGCCCGCTAAAGGCTGCGGTCAAGTCAAAACAAGTGTCACCTACCTTCGGTACACACATAGTCAAAGGAGCCTGTAATCCCAGAACCCCGGAGGCTAAGGCAGCAGGATTGCCATGAGTTCGGGGCCAGTCTGGACTGAGGAGTGAGTTCCAGGCCAGCCCGGCTACCAAATGAGACGCTCGTTTCAAAAAACACAATCAAGATCTAGGTGTGGTGGCACCCACTGGTAATCCTAGGGCTAAGGAGGAGGCAGAAGGATCAAGGAGTTCAAGACCGCCCTCCACCACATAGCAAGTTTGAGGCCAGTCCAGTTTATAGAAGGCTGTATCTCAACCCCTGCTCCCTCCCACCCCCACCGAGGAAGTCACAAGAGTCAAGGGCGAACTCGCTCCTGCTCTCTAAAGCCCCCAGCATGGTTTTGAAGACTTTTCCTTTCAATTACGGTGAGAGCTATTCCTCGGTCCGCCAGCAGGTGGCACTAAACCCGGCGTACCTTAACTGGTACCTTTCCAGTAACTTCCGCCTTCTCCCCGAAAGGGCCTCCTGGAGCCCCACCTCCTATCCCCTGGCCTGGGCGGAGCACTGCAGCCCGTTCCAGACGTCAGCTCCCAGAGGGCTGGTCCCAGAGCTGGAGAACCACCTGTGGAGTTCCCCTCCACAAGCTGCAAGGGCAAGATGTGAGTCTGCCCTACAGAGGGGCCTGGAGGAGGAAAGGGGCAGGGAGAGAGGAAGGCGGGACACGGGCTTGCATACGTACATACACGCAAACACACACACACACATACACACACTCACACATACACAGAGAGAGAGAGACAGAAAGGGGGCAGTGGACGAACAACTAAGACGGAATTAACTCCTTTTGCCTGGATGTGGTCTGTTCAATGCTCTGAGCCAGGAATGGTATTTAAATGCCCCCTGACCTGTAGTCTGTGATGAGGTTAGGACTGGCTGAGGCAGGAGGCCGCCTGGCCTAGATGAGACTCAGGAAGGAAAGGAGACATGTCTTCATAGGACAGACACCCTGCCGTCTTGAGGATCAGGCTGCAGAGAAACCTAGGGAGGAATCTACACTGACTCTGGTGAGGAAAGTGGCATCAGGAAGTCCCCAATGAATGCTCTGGGCCTACGGACACAGCTCCTGGCCCTTAAGCCTGTCAATACCTTGCCATCACTTGCCACAACCCGGTATGTCCACATGGCCCTCTCTGACCTCTCCCTGTCTCCCCTGCTCACTTGTAGGTGCTGGCTGCTGCTCTGGGGACTCCTCCATCCGTGGCCCACACAGGCCTCTGTGCTCCTGGCTGAGCGGCTACCACAACAACTGACATCCCCCGGATACCCGGAGCCGTATCTCAAAGGCCAGGAGAGCCACACTGACATCGAGGCTCCGGACGGCTTTGCCGTGAGGCTGGTCTTTCAGGACTTTGATCTGGAGCCGTCCCCAGGCTGTGAAGGGGACTCTGTCACAGTGAGCCCGGGCAAGGGGTTGGGGATCTGCAGGTGCTCTGGGGAGGGAACCTCCCAGGGTCAGTGGGAGGTAGCTCTGCCCTGAATCACCCATCTAGAGAAGGGGTAAAGTGTCCAAGTCAGAGGCCCTGGGGCCTAGCTACAGCCTGTCCACCCTGTACACAGAATCCCACCACCATCTCTGTCCGTGACAACCCACCGGGATCCACCAAACTCCTAGAGAAGCTACAGGACAGACCCTGGGTTTTGAGGACATACAGAGAGACACTACAATATCGCTGGTCTACAATCCAGTCCAAGGTCTGGGACCTCACACTCTCTAGGCCGTATTGCGTGCCTGCTCTGTTGGATTAGGAAACTGGACATAATGACAAATGATTAAGGTATCAAGTGAAGATCGGGTTCACCTGGGAAGAGAGGTCACAAAATTACAGAAAGGGCATCATTCAAAATGAGAGTATTTTTAAATCATAGTTTACGTTATCTTTTGGGGTCGAATTTTATTTATGTCTAAATAAAATGTGCATATAATTTTTAAAGTCAGAATCCTAGCCATATGTGGTAATTCAAACCTATTACCCCAGACCTTAAAAGGCTGCAGCAGGAAGATTAGATGATCAGGGCCTACCTAGGCTGTAAAGCAAGTTCAAGGCCAGCCTGGGCTACATAGGAAGACCTTGTCCCAAAAAACAAAAAACTAAGCTTCCCAGGCTAGCTTTGAACTCACAGCCCTCCTGCCTCGGCCTTCTGAGTGCTTTGGTAATAAATCTGATTGAAGGGCTAAAGATACAGTTCTTTAGTAGAGTTCTTGCCAAGACCCTCGATCCATTCCCTGTACAGAGGGAGACGGGAGGGAGAGAAGAAATAAAAACTCAGAGTCCTTCAGGTGTTATAATGAGAAACAGTAGTCCCAGCCTTCTCCCGGGGCCATCGTTTACAACTTAGCTGCGTAAGTGTATAAATGATATGCTCATTCTACTGTGCATTTTTTTTAATGTTTGTCTCGTTTTCATTTTTCTTTAAACTTCCGACTATAGAAGGCGAGGACTGGCTCCAGCCGTAAGACCTTCACGCCCAGCCCACAGCCCCCCCTCACTCATTCTCCCATTTTCCTATACTATCCATTTAAAAAGTATTATTTATAGTGGGGACTTTAAAACACATCTGAGCACATAGCACGTGGGGATTACGTTCCCCTCCTTCTCCAATCACTTCCTTAGAAGGCACGTGTTAAGCTCTAGGCAGCCTGTGTGGGTTAGCTTCACCCTCACTGCAGGTGGGCAGTTTGTCTGGGTCTAATACTCCAGGTTTGAAGTCATTTTCTTCCGGAATGTTGATGACATTGTCTTCTATCTCTAACATTGTTTAAAAATCTGATGCCGCCATCATTCAAAATCTTCCTTTTTTTTTTTTTTTTTTTTTTTAATCTAGAATTTTGCAACTATTTTCCTTATTCCAGTGTTCTGAACTTTCATCTGGTGTGCCAGGATACAGGTGGCTCTTCCCTCATTGTGTGTGTCGGGGGGGGGGGTGTCTTTAAATCAACATACTTTTAACCTTCAATTATGAAAGCATTCTTGATTTATCTACTTACTACTTTACAAGACAACTGATTCCTTTTTAAGGTGTGTGTGTGTGTGTGTGTGTGTGTGTGTGTGTGTGTGTGTGTGTGCTGGCAGGTGCCAGTGGAGGCCAGAAGGGGGCATCAGATTTCCTGGAGCTGTAGTTACAAGTGGTTGTGAGCCATCAATCTCTCCTGTGCTTCGCCAACCATTTGTACATTTGTAGCTTACTCTCTAGTTCGGTTCTCTGTTCTATGGTTGTCCAACTCCATGTCTTTTTGCCACCTTCTAGAATATGTCTTTGTCTTTCTTTTTGTGATGCTAGGGCTGTCCCAGGGTCCCACGCACACTGACGAACACTCTACCACTGAACTACAGTCTAGCCCCAATTTCCTCATGTTTCTTTTCAGACCTTTCAGTTGATGATTTCTTCATAAGGACTCGTCCTTTCTAAATATGTGGTTCTTGCCACAACGTGCAATGTCCACTTGTTCACCTCTCGTGGGGATTGGTCTTAAGTGTTTCTTCTGTTTTCTGCATTATTTGCCTGGCTCCACCTCTGCTTTTTGTCTGAGAGACTTTTCTGTCAATGTCTGTTAATACAGGCCTGACCATCTGTGTTTAAGATTAAAACACCAAGCTGCTGATTTAAAGTTCTGCATGAACAGCTAAAACCTGTCAAATGATGGGTTTGAAGATGGTGTTTCAATTCGTTTTCCGCTGCTGTAACAAAATGCCATAGGCTGGGTAATTTATAAGCAATGGAGGTTTGTTTTGCTGGTGGTCTGGTAGTCCAAAAGCATGGTGCTGGCAAGGAGGGGGCTGTCCTAGCATGGTGGGATGACAAGAGCAAGGAAAACTGGGCTTAATTCATCCTTTTCATTAGGAATGCACTTCTGCAATAAATAACCCACTCCCACAAATAAAGGCACAAATAGGCGAACTACCTCTTAAGAGACCCACCTCCCAGCGCTATCAAACTGTTTCTTTGTTTCTTTGTTTTGTTTTGGTTTTTGGTTTTCTTGTTTTGTTTTGTTTTGTTTTTGTTTTTTGAGGCAGGGTTTCTCTGTGCAGCCCTGGCTGTCCTGAAACTCACTCTATAAACCAGGCTGGCCTCCAACCTAGAGATCCCCTGTCTCTGCTTTCCGAGTGCTGGGATTAAAGGTGTGCATCACCACAACCAGGCATGGCAACTAAATTTTACCGAGCCCCCAGTCACAATGAGTTCTGTTGGTCAATGGGCTGACAGTCTGGGTAGTTCCTGTCCCTATGGGGGATGAGACAACATGGGGTGGATGGAGATCTAAGTGTAACCGGCAGTCCTGGCCAATTTCTGTCTGGGAATGATTGACAAGTGGTGGAACTTGTCAAGAGTGGAAGATAGACATGGGATGCCTCAGCTAACAGGACAGGGGAAGGTGGGGCTCTGGCCCTGGGCAAGCTAAACGCTTTAGAGGGCAGAGTTGGTTGAGGCCTCAGCGTATGTAAGACCCAAAGACCTGGAGACCTTCATGGGTAGTTTAAATCTTTCCCTTAGGTCCATTCCTGTGGCATAAAGTCTGATTCCCCGGGGTTCTCCCTGTTTCTCAAAGGCCAAAATATTTTTTTAATGAATTTTCCAGAAAGCCTCTGTTTCATAACCCCAATTTTTGCAATGGAAACTCCCTTAGTCTTGGCAGCCAGGGGCCCAGCCAAAGAGCATGTATGAAACTGTAAACACTGGGTTCCTATCTCAAAAGGTCCACTTCCACGTCTTTTTTTAAAGTACAATCAAACATTTAAAGTGGGCAGCAGTGAGCTAATGTCAAGTTGGATATGGGTTGGTGGGCTGCAGTCACATTCAAATGCCTTCCCCTCTACCTGTCTTCCTCGGTTTCCAAGTCCAGGCCTGAGAGCAGTGGGCATTTGGACCATGACCCTGTATTCATGCCAAACATAGGACTCAGGAGCAGGCCAAAGGGCAAGGGGTGGAAGGGCCCAGGACTTGATGAAACCTTCATTTTAGTGGATCCGTCCATAGTCTGGAGACAGTCCTTCTGACGGCAGCCGTGGCTTCCGATTTCGATGTGGGCGTGGCAGTGTAATGACTGCCACCCTCACAGCCATAGGAGCGGAGGAAAGCACTGTGTAGCTCCCTTTCAGAGTTGGTTCCAGCACCCATTTGGCTACCTGCTTGACCCAGACAGTATTATGGGACTCAAACGAGAAGCCGGTGGTGGGCGTGGAGGATGGCTGGGTCTTTTGGTCAGTTCGATGAATAGCCAGGATGGAGGCCTGCAGGGCCTGTGGTGACTTGAGAAAGGAATGGTTAGAGAGCTGTGCCAACTGCTGGGGTAAATCCCGCCCGATATGGGGTGCAGCGGGTCCAAAGCGAGGGAACGGAGTTCTGTCCACCTCTTGCCAGACCCTAATGAGAGTTTTGTTGGAGTTTCTTTTAACATCCTGGTTTTTTAGTTTTTCAGGGTTTTTGTTGTTTTATTTTTTTATTTTGTTTTGTTGATTTTTTTTTCAAGGGTTTCTCTGTCTTTCTCTGTCTCTGTAGCCTTAGCTCTCCTGGACTCACTCTGTAGACCAGGCTGACCTCGAACTCGTGAAGATCCACCTGCCTCTGCCTCCCCAAGTGCTGGGATTACAAGGTGTGTGCCACCTTGCCTGGCTTTAATGTCCTGTTTATTCTTTGTATTTGATTAATTAAGATAATTTGGCTATGAAACCTGGGCCATTGTCAGACCCTGTTTCTAGGGGGAAGCCAAAACAGGGGACCAGCTCTTGGACCAAAAAAAAAAAAAAAAGTTATTTATTTATCACATGTATATATGATAAATACATATATGAGCACTCTGTCTTCATACCATACCAGAAGAGAAAATCAGATTCCATTACAGATAGTTGTGAGCCACCATATGGTTTCTGGAACTTGAACTCAGTACTTTGGAAGAGTAGTCAGTGCTCTTAACCACTGAGCCATCTCTCCAGTCCCCTGGAGGAGTTTTTAATCTACTATGTGAGCAGTTCCGGTCTAGATGAGAACATTTCTACCCACCTAGAAAATGTGTATATAAAAACTAGCAAGTCCTTGCATCCCTCCCTGGCAGGCCAGATCTTGGTCAATGGCCTCTCCTGCATAGGCCTCTCTGTTTTGGGTTTTACCTGAGCATAAACTGGCATCTGGCTGAGACATCCCATGCTAGGCTCATCAGTCTAGGTACACCTTGGTCTGAGCAACTCAGAAAGTATTGTGGTACTGGCTACATGCTAAGTTTCATGGCCTGAGCGACACTTCCACCATGGCAACAACTGTGCTAAGCTCTGGGGCCTACCAAGGTCTAGCTAGGGGTCTGTTACAAACATCAATTCTGAGCAAAGCGGATGTAGTCTTTTCTTAGAATTTACAATCCAGTGAGAAGTGCAGAGAGCCCGCGGTTTCCAAGGCAGAAGAAGGAAAGCAGAGTAAGTTTTACAAGGTATTTGTGGTCGGCATATAAGAGTCAAATACATGGCCACTCTGGAAGAAACTTGGGGGTCAATAATGAGGCAAAATGCTAATTCAGGAAGACTTCAACAGGAGCAGCTTCTGGGCTCCACAGAGGTGCATCACAGAGCTGGAGTGATGGCAGACATGACCTTGCACCCTGTGACCAGCGGCACAGACTTGCCCCACACTTCCCGTCCTCTGTTTCCTCTTTCAGATCTCAACCAGAGGAACAGATGCAACCCGGCTGTGCGGGCAGCATGGTTCCTCTCTGGGGAACCCTCCTGGCCACAGGGAGTTCGTGTCCTCGGGGAGGAGTTTGCGGCTGACCTTCCGGGCACACTATTCCTCCAAGAACGAGATCACACACCTCCACAAAGGCTTCTTGGCTCTCTACCAAGCCATAGGTGAGGCTCCCTCCTGGAGTATAGGGAGAGAACCTTTGTGACCCCTTTCCTGCTCCCTCACCTTGGAGGACCAAGTGGCAGCATGAGTGACAGGTGAGGCTTGGGGGTACCTGAACTGACTCTGTCCTTGTCCCATTGGTGACCCTGCTGATGAGCAGCCCAGATAGGAGCCAGCCATTGCTTGGCTCCAGCCATGAATTCCAGGAGAGTTTACAGGCTCTGTGTGCAGATCGGGAGAAGTCAGACAGCCGGGTGAAATTCTAGATTTAAGTGGAATTCTAGATTTTCAGCGACTTGCTTCCTGGAAAAGTAGTATTTACACATAATAAATATCTTTTAATTAAGGTGCGAAAAATAAGATTTCTTTGATCTCTGGCCTCCAGAAACAGCCCTGCTTGCCAGCCACCAGATATGCTCCCAAAGACATCCCAACCCCTGAAGATACATTATATCTGTTTGTTGCACAATGTACAGAACATGCTGGGGCTGGCATTTTTTAAGACTTTTTTTATCTTTTAGATTTATTTCTATTCTGTGTCTCACTTGCATGTATGTCTGTGCACTGTGTGTACACCTGGGACCTGCAGAGGCCAGAAAAGGAACCACATCACTGCTGTTGTAAAAAAAAAAAAAAAAATGGTGTTGTGCTACATGATGCTTATTATTAGCCCTAGAAATATCGCGGTGGTATTTAACCCGCTGTCACAAATAATAAGACAGACACCTGTTAAATTTTAAAATAGCTGCATTGCCTTGGGCCAGGCAGATCTTTCTACCTCACCATTCACCTCCCAGCCCCCATCCAATGCCATCCTCCTTAACCATCCTCACCTGAACTAGCCTCCATGCATAATCTTATAAATACTGGCTTCTATTTTCATCTTGGTGTTTTCTCCATCCTATATCATCCTCAGGGTCCTTTTTACCAGCCCGCGTGGCTTCTTCTCCATGCTAACCCATCCATCATGGCTTTCTCTTTCCTCCTCTCTTCCTGACCATCTGTTTCCTGTGATTCTCCTGTCCTCTACAGCCCAGGAACTTTAGCCACGCCTACCCCATTCTGCCCTGCCCAGGTATAGGTCTTTAATCAATCAATCAATCAATCAGGTACAATGTCTTAGGCAGGTTTACAAGGATAGGGGTATCCAGGCAGTAATCAGATCTTAAGGGCCAGTAGTAGAATCATCAGACCAACCTCCAACAGATCACCTATCGCTAGAGTCCAGAGCTGCCTTGTGTGTGCTGGGAACTGAACCTGGGTGCTCTGGAAGAGTAGCAAACGGCCTTCACTGCTGAGCCATCTCTCCAGCCTCAAATTCAGTATGTCTTAGAGGCCATTATGTTTTTAATAGCACGCAATAGTCCCTTGAATGCTGTAGTGGATATTCCATGAGTCCACCATGACGCTTTCTTGCCACCAACAATGCGGCTATGTATATTCTTACAGGAACGTCTCTGAGCCAAGGTGTGAGAATTTCTTTAGGGTAAATTTTTAGACGTTTAAATGCTGGGTTACAACACATTTCTGAAGTTGTTTAGCTTCTCTCCGTAGTAGTTTTGCTAGCTAATCCTCCCACCAGCTATGTTTGGAAAGGCCCAGTTTCTCCACAACTCACAGTCCCTTTCAAGCTGTTGGAGTATTAAAAACCTCATCAGCGAAAGATGGTTTGGATTTTGCTACGTCTTGTACATTGACCAGCCTTGTAGACGTGGCCAGAATCGTCCCCCGAGTTGCCAGTTTGCAGATCTCTGTGAGGCCCTAAGAACTGCTGTTTCCCTACAGCTGTGAGCCACCCCAGTGTGGACACTGAGGCTGCCACACCTGCAGCTGACCCTCCCGAGATCCAGAACTACTGCCAAGAGCCCTACTACAAGGCAGGACAGACAGGTGAGTTCACACCTGCTGAGGAGGCAGTGCCTACGGAAAGGTCTGAGGCCTTCTGAGCACCTATCCTGCCAGCTGGACACCCCAATGCTCTGCTGCCCCTCCTTCTGCTCCGCAGGGACATTTAGCTGCCCATCCTTGGGGGACTGGAAGGACAGACAGGATGGAGGGGACATTCCTCAGTGTGTACCAGGTGAGTAGCTACATACCTAATGCCAGCAGGCCTCAGCTGTAACAGGGAGGCTGGGACATAGGGTGAAAGGAGAGCACTGGCATAGAAAATGGAGGTGAAGGCAGAAAGCTTGTAAGAAAACACACACAAATGCACATGGATGCATACACATACACACACAGCCTCTCTTGCCCCTCCCCCATGACCTTTACACACACACACACACACACACACACACACACACACTGCCTCTGTCCACCCCTGTCCTGTCAACAACTAACCTACTTTCTCCCTCTATGAGTTTGTTAATTCTGGGAATTTCATACAAATGGAACCATATATTATAAGACCTTTTATGGCTTCTCCCCTTAGCATAATGCTTTCCAGGCCCTCCATGCTATAACGGTACTTCATGCTTGTGTGTGTGTGTGTGTGCATGTGTGTGTGTTTTGTTTTTGTGACAATCTCATATATCCCAGAATGGTCCCAGACTCCCTATGTAGCCAACGATGACCTTGAACTCCTGATTTTTCTGCCTGTTTCCCACATCCTGGAATTACAAGCATACGCCAACACACTTGAATATCATATTTTCCAATGAAAGCATGGTCTCCTACCCCAGCCAAATCTATGATCCATGGAACACTCCAGGGCAGCCTCGTTGAGGGGGATGGGGGAATGGATGACACGGGAAATGTTACAAATGAGAGAGGGACCCAGGAAAGAGGCAAAACACACTGAAGACAAACTGCGGACCATCAGAGTTAAGAAATGGCTTGAAAATGTCTGCAGCAGCAGGAGGGAAGGCCCCACTGCCCTAGCCCCTGCAGGATTAGTGCCCCGTGGTGTCAGGATTGATTCTCGGGCCTTGTGATGTACACGCTTGGAAAGTCCTGGCCCTCCATGGCGTCACAGCTGGGCACCTCCTCACACCTACCTGATCTAACATAATCTAATCTCCTACAGCAGTCGCTTGCTCCCTTGCCTCTCCTCTCTTGCAGTCTGTGGAAGGCCTGTCATAGCCATTGCCCAGGACCCAAAGACTTTCCGTTCTTCCCGAGCTAAGCTGGGCAACTTCCCCTGGCAAGCCTTTACCAGCAGCTACGGCCGTGGGGGCGGAGCCCTGCTGGGTGACAGATGGATCCTGACGGCCGCGCATACCATCTACCCCAAGGACAGCATCTATCCCAGAAAGAACCGGAGCATGGAAGTGTATCTGGGTCACACGGACATAGACGAGCTACTGAAACTGGGGAACCATCCTGTCCGTCGGGTCGTGGTTCACCCAGACTACCGCCAGCACGACCCCCATGACTTCAACGGGGACATCGCCCTCCTGGAGCTTCAACACAGCGTCCCTTTGGGCCCCAACCTCCTCCCGGTCTGTCTGCCCGACAATGAGACCCTCTACCACAGCGGCCTGTGGGGCTATGTCAGTGGGTTTGGGGTGGACATGGGCTGGCTGACGACAAAGTTGAAATACTCCAGACTGCCGGTAGCCCCCCGGGAGGCCTGTGAAGCCTGGCTCCGCCAGAGGCAGCGGACCGAGGTGTTTTCTGACAGTATGTTCTGTGTCGGGGACGAGACGCAGGCGAACAGCGTCTGCCAGGGAGACAGCGGCAGCGTCTATGTGGTGTGGGACGATCAAGGTCTGCACTGGGTGGCCGCGGGCGTCGTGTCCTGGGGCATCGGGTGTGGCAAGGGCTATGGCTTCTACACCAAAGTCCTCAGCTACGTGGACTGGATCAAGAGGGTGATGGAAGGTAAAGACTGACCCCCCCAGGCCCCCGGGGGCCTGAGCAGCGGCCAACCAGCACTGTGGGGGTCCCAGGCAAGAACAAGCAGGAAGAAGTCAGGAACCCTATTTAAGTCACTGAGTCAGCAACCCACAGCCAAGAGAAAGCCCCTCTCTGGAGCCTACGCCATCCCAGATCAAGAGCAGCACCCACTGCCCGCTCCTCCCCTGCTGCCCTCCTGGGTTCTGTACCAGGGGAACCCTGTACACCTTAGCATCTTTTGCTTAGAACATCTCTTTTGTTTGCTCAAGGCAGGCTTTCCCACTGTATCCCAGGCTGGCCTCAGACTCATCGCAATGTTCCCGCTTTTAATGCCCTACCTCACCTATTAACGGTTTCTTCTGTATTTACTCGTGGACTCGTGTTTCTGGAATAGTCCAGAGGCCCTTACAATGAGCGGCCTTCAGATACACAAAGCCATTGGCTCCAGCACATCCCAGCTCCTGCGGTTATAGGAATACGTCCTTTCTCATTTCACATCTACCGTAAGCCGGGAGCATCGCCTGCTAGCTCACCTAATCCTCGCCCTGTGCTGTCACAGGGTGTGTTACCCATCATCCATGTCTCTCACATGGAGGAGACTGAAGCTCAGAGAGCTATGGTTCTTCCCTGAGGTTTCATTTCTCCGGGCAAGCTCTCGGGGCTACCTCTCAGTCACCTCAGGACCTACCTTACTTTACCATCCACATCCCCTTCTGGGCCCCACAGCTGTACAGAGACTCCATCCCGGGGAAGGCCTGCTGCCGTGAAGGTCATACCATCGGGGCACACTTTCCTGCCGGCCCTCGTCACCGAGGGCCCTGCTGGCCTGAGGAGATGAAGTCTTTAATTTGTAGGACGGATTTGGGGCTATTTACTGTGAAAGACAAAAATGAAATACAACAGTTCATGGGAATAGAGAATAAATACCATGGGGGGGGGGAGAAAACCCATTAGTGTTGAGAATAAAGGTGCACTATTTATTGTCAACGGTTAAATTTATCTTTGAGAAACAGCAGGATGCAAGCTGAACAAACGATACACACGTAAAGTCCAAGCTACTTGGGAGGTTGAGGCAGAAGGATCCTAAGTTCAAGGCCAGCCTTGATCTCATTTCAGGGTTAACAAAAGATAAAAATTAAAAAAAAAAAAAAATAGCCAAGCGGTGGTGGCCCACGCCTTTTATCCCAGCACCAGGGGAGAGTGCTGGGATCTGCGACAGGCGTGCATCACAGCGTGTGATAAAATCATGGACCAGCCCTGCCACTACATTCGTGCTAAACCTTCCAACCCGTGGTAGCTTTGGCATGCTGTGTGTGCCGGCTATCCAGCCACATTCCAAGATGGCTGGTCACTGTCCAGTGGGAGACCCCTCTCCATCTTTGCGAGACCTTGAAATCCACAGTCTGACTCCTAACATGAATAATCTCGTAGGTGGATGAGCTGGGGGGAATAGAGGGAAGGTTCATCTAATAAGGAACACATCCAGACCGCCTCCAGTGTCACAGGAACAGAGCCTGCTCTGCAGCCCAAGCCTCCGCAGAACAACGTGCCATAAAGCATTTGGTGCTGTGGACTGCAGGAGAAAAAAAAAAAAAAGTTTAAGCAGGACGGTATGTCCTTGTAGACAGTACAGCTGTCCACAAGGGAAACCGAAACCTGGTTTCCCTTCCAGAAAGACCGAGTCACTCGGTACTAACACCCTTTGCTTGAAGCACCAAGTAATGACATCCCTGACCTCAAACTAGAAAAGATGTTTCCGCCCCTCTGTAGCGGCCCTAGTTCAGTGACGGGGACGGGCCGCTCAAAGCGTAGGATTGCTTTAGGGTCCTGCGACTTGGCAACTCCCCAACGCCCCACACCACCGCGTCTTCCTGCTCCGGGTACCCCCCTCCATCCAGTTCTGTCCTCTCACCCAGTGTGTTTAAACCCTCGTCACCCCGACTGCCGGGAGAATAAGTATAGTGAGAAAGCATAGTCTTCGAGGGCCTCCGCAGCCTGTGACGGCCGTGGCGAGGAGCCTCGAACAAAGTGCAACCGGCAGTCCCCAGGAAAAGTCTCCCAGGACCGCCAATCTGCTTTAGAAACTCCAGTCTGGACCGCCAACCAAATGTTTTCCCAGATGACCACCAGGTGGCACCAGCAACAGGGATTTCAAAACCAAAACTAAACGGGGAGCTCAGAAATGTTTTGATTATGCAAATGGTTCATCCCCCCCCCCCCCCCCCCCGCACCGCGCTTCTCCGGGAATGGTCACCCCTCCGCTGCCACAGTCCTCCCCTCCTGCTTCCCTCCTCCCCTCCTGCTTCCCTCCTCCTCTACATGTCCACTCCCTCCTTCAACTCACAGAGCCTGAAGATTCTTCTTGTCAGGAGAGCTGGGGAACCAAACCAAACTGGCCTTGAGACATGTGAGTAAGGCTAATGGGCATCAGGTGAGGAGGGAGGAGTTGGGCACAGGAGGCAAATGTGCTCCTACATTATTAAAAAAAAAAAAAAAATACCCTCCTTCCTGCAGTTCCCATCTCCCATGCACACACATATACAGGGGCTCGCTCACAGCCCCTCCTCCCAGGGACCAGACCCTTAGACCTGAGCTGAGGCAGCTTCTCTTTTCTTGACTCTGGGATATCAGGGTAACAGTGAGGCGAGGGAACTCTCTGAGTGAGGAGGAGAACTCTCTCGGCCCGGTGTGTGTCTCTCAGACTCCGTGGAGGGTTTCTCCCAGAGGCCTTTGCTAAAGCCTGGGGAGCCTTTGCAGAGCCATGGGCCGGAAAGCTTCACCCACCCTCAGTTAGCTGGTCCCAAGCCCATCCTATCCCAGGAAGAAAAGAGATGGAAGGGGAGAGCAGAGGAGGCAGCTGGGGTTGGGGGTGTAGGAGCCTGGTGACCTCTGGACTGGACACTGGCCTGGGAGAGACGCCAACGCAGCGGCTGCGGAGGCGGCTGCTGCCCCCCAGCACAGCACCTCCGTGAAGTCTAGAGTGGGCAGAGGGGAAGGATGGGCACTCTGGGCATCCTATTCCTGCCCTACAACACCCCAAATGGCAAGGCTGCTGCACCCGTCCGGCCCTACAAACACCCTCTCTCTCTCTCTCTCTCTCTCTCTTCCACAGGCGGCTCTTGGTCCTCCTTCTGGTGACTGTGGTCTGCAGGGTGGAGGGCTCCGTCTACCTCCCTCAGAAGCTCTACGGAGAGGTGACCTCCCCTCTGTATCCCAAGCCTTACCCCAACGACTTTGAGACGACCACCGTGATCACAGTCCCCGAGGGGTACAGGGTGAAACTCGTCTTCTGGCAGTTTGACGTGGAGCCTTCTGAGGGCTGTTTCTACGACTATGTCAAGGTAGGAGCCGTGTTGGGAGGGGGAGAGACAAAGCCAGGCCGCTCCAGAAGCGGGAAGTTTGTGCTCCAAATACCCTGGACAATATGCCCATCGTTGTGCAGCCCTGTAGAAATGCTCGCTTTCAGTTCCTGGTGCCATAGAGGAGGAATTCAGGGACTTTTGAGGCCTTCGGTGATAACCATGAGGGAAAAGGTGGGAGGTTGTTGTTGTTTTTTCCAGGAGATCTCACTATGTATAGGAGTCAGGAGATGGCTAACTGTACGACCTTAAGAAATAGCTGTGCCTCAGTTTCCCCTACGGCTACCTACCTCATCAGAAACATGAGGAAACGAAAGATGTGATGGGTTGCACATGACCTTCCGGGGAGGACAAGTATCTTGGTTACCCCAATCTGTACCCCTCAAAGGGTTTCTTTCTCCGCCTCACCTTTCTATGTCCAGTAAAAACAAAAGGCAGGGTCCAGGCAGAGCCGCCTGTGCACGCCCACACACCATCATTCTCAGGCAACAGCCTGAAGGCTGAGACAGTAACGTGCAACCTGCAGGTCTTCCCAACAAGGAGGTCTCAGCGAGTCCGCAGTGGCGTGTGTGGCAGTCGGGGGTGGGGGTGCATTTGGAGGCAAAGCGAGTGAGGAAGGTGTTCCTCTGCTTTTGAGAGATTAAGGGATCTGAGAGAAAAGCGGTCAAGAGGCCGGGTGATGCTGCCCAGTGCCGAGGCGGCTGGGTACCAAGTTCGGTTGAGTATAGCAGAGCTCAGTGCGGTTTTTAAACAATGAAGAGGAAAACAGAGCAAACAGGGCGTGGTAGCACACTCCCGTGTTCCCGGTCCCAGGGAGACCAGCCTGGGCTACACAGCACGTTCAAGGCAAACTCAGGCTACTCAGCAAAACACTTTGTCAAAAACCCCAAGGAGGAAAAGGAAGATGAGAAGAGGGGGAGGAAGAGGAAGAAGAGGAGGAGGCCAACTACAGAGACTAAAGATGGCCAATCGGAACGAAGGAAACTTGATAAAAGTGGCTAGAGGCAAGGATTCCTAGGGAAGGAGGGTACAGGACGTGGTGGGAATGAAATGAGATTGGAGCCTTGGGCTGAGGGGCAGAGAACAGGGAACAGATGATGTACCAGGCACAGAATGATGAGGGACGAGTTAGCTGACAGTTGGGACTCGAAGGCGGGAGGTTCAGTCACAGTCCAGGGATGGAGAGATGGCTCAGGGGGTAAAGGCACTTGCCTCCGAGCCTGACAACCTGAGGAGTGCAATCCCAAGGGTGCATGTGATGAGGGGAAAGACCTGCCTCCTGCAGACTGTCAACTGTGCCCCACCCACCTGGCGGCCCCAGCGCGTGCCACCAGACTCCAGCCCTGCATGGCTGTTCTCCACTGTCCTCCCATCAACAGATTTCTGCTGATAAGAAAACGCTAGGAAGGTTCTGTGGGCAGCTGGAGTCTCCGGGCCTGGGCAACCCCCCAGGAGAGAAGGAATTCGTGTCCGAGGGGAACAAGATGCTGCTGACCTTCCACACAGACTTCTCCAATGAAGAGAATGGGAATGTCATGTTCTACAAGGGCTTCCTGGCCTACTACCAGGCTGTAGGTGAGTGGTCCCTGTGGCCAGCCCTTCCTTCTGGCCTCAGCCACGGGAGCGGGCAGGGGAACAAGCTCGAACCCAAAGAAGCTGGAAGCCTAGCTTTCCTGGTTTTTCTCCTCAAGATGGGGTCTGGCAATCTGGCCTCTGCCGCCACTGAACAGTTCCCAGAGAACATTAGAGAGACATGGAGGCCTGAGCGGACTTTGTCTCCAGGCTTCCAGTACATGGCTCTTTGAGAAGGAACCACACTCATGTCTGCGCACAGAGGACCCGAGAGCACCCAGTAGCAGCTCTGACCCCGGAAATGTCTGGACGGGAAGTTAAACCCTGCCTTCTGAAAATCCCTTCCAGACCTTGATGAGTGTGCCCCCCGGCCCAACTCCGTGGAAGAGGATCCCCAGCCCCGATGCCAGCACCTGTGTCACAACTACGTGGGGGGCTACTTCTGTTCCTGCCGCCCAGGCTACGAGCTTCAGAAAGACGGGCTCTCCTGCCAGGGTGAGGCAGAGCGTGGGGGAGGGGGTGGCTGGGCGGGGCCCGCCGGCCTGAGAGCCCCCACGACCTCTTTGGTTCTCTTCCCCTAGCTGAGTGCAGCAGCGAGCTGTACACGGAGCCTTCGGGCTACGTCTCTAGCCTGGAGTATCCCCAGCCCTACCCGCCGGATTTGCGCTGCAACTACAGCATCCGGGTGGAGCGGGGCCTCACGCTGCACCTCAAGTTCCTGGATCCTTTCGAAATCGACGACCACCAGCAAGTACACTGCCCCTACGACCAGCTCCAGGTACGGCCGTACCTTACGCTCCCCTTCACATACTCTCACGGCTTCCCCGGGTCCCTGCCTCTTCCCGGGTCCTCTGACTGGGTGGGCCAGCATCACCTGGGTCTAGAATAGCTTCCAGACAACAGCCAGTAGGTGCCGGGGGGTCCTCTTTCACCTGCAGCTGACACCACCTCTACGGCCACCCTTGGCCATGAGGCTGATACCCAAGCAGACATCTGTGTTAAAAAAAAAAAAAAAAAATGTCCTCGATGGAGACGTAACAGTCCCCACCCCTGTTCCTGTCAGATCTATGCTAATGGAAAGAACTTGGGTGAATTCTGTGGGACGCAAAGACCTCCAGAGCTGGACACCAGCGGCAATGCAGTCGATCTGCTGTTTTTCACGGATGAATCGGGGGACAGCAGAGGCTGGAAACTACACTATACCACTGAAAGTAAGAAAGTTAGGGTGGAGTGCGGCTTACTGCTAAAACTTGTACCTAGCATGTACGAGACCTTGGGTTCAATCTTCAGCGCCCCCCCCCCAAAAAAAAACTAAAATGTGTAAGCACCTTCCTTGCCTGCCAGTACTGAGGGAAAGTGGGGGAGAAGGAAGGACCAATGGCTCTGATGTGCACATGCCCTCTGGCCTCACCAACAGTCATCAAGTGCCCGCAACCCAAGACCCTAGATGAGTTCACCATCATCCAGGATCTGCAGCCCCAGTACCAGTTCCGGGACTACTTCATTGTCACCTGCAAGCAAGGATACCAGCTCATGGAGGTAAGGGGCTGATGGGGGAGAACGTCTGGGTGTCCCAGGAGGAGGAGATGGGAAGGTCTCTGGAGGATGGAACGGGAAGAATCAGTCTGTCTGCTCTCAGATCTGACTGCACACGAAAGGAACTGAAGTCCAAGGTCCACTCGGGCTGCAGAGCAAGTTTAAGGCCAGCCTGAGTGACTTAGTGAGACCTTGTGTCAAAGTGAAAAGCGAAAAGAGGACTGTGGCTATAGCTCAGGAGCAGAGTGCTTGCCTGGCAGGCTGGTGGCCCCAGGTTCAAAACTGGCTACTGTAAAAAAGCAAAAAGGATTAACGTTGCCTGTATACAAGCAATACTCAGAGGGGTTTTAGGAAACTGGTGTCTTAGCCAGTCCGTGGTGGTGCACATCTTTAATCCCAGCACTCAGGGAGGCAGAGGCAGGAGGATCTCTGTGAGTTTGAGGCCAGCCTGCTCTACAGAGTTTCAGGACAGCCAGGGCTACACAGAAAAAAACCCTGTCTCAAAAAAACCGAGAGAGATTGAGAAAGAGAGAACTGATGTCTGGGTTGCCTGCCTGGGAGTCTAATTCCATCAGTCTGTAGTACAGGCTGGGCACCCTGACTATTTAAAACTACCCATTGGGGATCCGAGGTGCAGCCAAGTTTAAATGCTATTGGACCCAGTACTCACTGTAGAAGTAAGAACTGCAAAGTCAGGGCGGCGCTGTCCCGACTTGTTCGGCATCACACAGTGGCTCGTGTACAGCAGGGACAGGTACCCCACCCTCCGGGCTCTTTGGTAGCCATTGGTGGTCTCACCACAGGCCCACCGCCCTGTCTTCAGCTTTGCAGGTGTGGTCAAGCAGGTGGGGGAGAAGGGGTGCTTGGTTAGTTGGTTGGTGACAGTTGGTCTCGCCATATAGCCCAGGCTAGATTTCAACTCTATCCTCCTGCCTCCATCTCCTGAGTGCTGAGATGACAGGTATTCGCCCTTAGACCCGTCTGATTCTTAATAACTAAATAACAGTTCTTCATAACCAGGTGTAGCAGCTACACCAGTAACATGTGCTCGTGAGGCTTAAGCAGGAAAACCATGAATCTGAAGGCAGCCTGGGCTGCATAGTCAGTTCCTGGCCAGCCTAGGCTATACGACAAGGCCCTGTCTCAAAAATAATAATAATAATAATAACCATTTTCCAAAATTATCAAGAGAGAACCACTCCTTGGTCTTGTGCCAGCTGTCCACTCATCATGTTGAACACCTATGAGAAGGGCCAGGTGGAAAAGCCCTGGACTTTAAGGAAACTGCAATCTAGGAGAGACTGTGATGGAGACATTGGCTGAAAGGGTATCTCAGGGAGAGAGAGAAGCCAGAGTCTGCTCCAGAAATTGGACTTTGTTTTCATACAAAAGCACCATCCTGACTTGTTGATTATTATTATTACAATTTGGGTAGACCTAGTTGAAACAGACAAGAGTCTTAAAAAGAAGATTATTGGACCTACCAATTAACCTTGCTGTGACTCTCTGCTTTGGAGCTCGGCATCCCATCTGCAGCCCTGGACTGGGAGCACTAGCTGGGGAGAATAGGGAGAAGGAAGGAGGAGCCACAGCTGAGGGACGTGGGGGAGCTGAGGTCTAAGAGACTGACAGCACCTGTCACCACGCTCCCTACACTCAAAAGCGCGGCATGGAAGGGAGAGAAGCTGTGGGCTGATGGCTTGTCTAACTTCTGCTTAAACAGGGAAACCAGGCGCTGCTGTCCTTCACAGCCGTTTGCCAGGATGATGGCACATGGCATCGCGCCATGCCCAGGTGCAAGAGTAAGTCACAAATTGGATTTCTCTGCCCTCTAGGGACCTGCCATCCCTTAGTCTTGAGACTTGAGCTGGGAGGAAAAAGAATGCAGTCTCTCATCTCCAAGAGTCCTGCCTCTTGGCCTGTTCCCTGAAGGTCACAGCTCATCTCAGAAACTGTTCAGTCTTTATCTCGGGCCTGATAGGCTCTGCCAGAACTGAATTTCACTCCCTCCATTGCAAGTGTCCACCCTATTGACCATACTCCTCTGAGGCTCTCTGAGACAGCTCACTGCCCCTCTGAAGTCCCCATACAGGTGTCCTCCACTCCCTTCCAACCCTGTGTTCTCTCTAAGTCAAGGACTGTGGGCAGCCCCGAAGCCTGGCTAACGGGGACTTCCGCTACATCACCGCAAAAGGCGTGAACACCTACGAAGCCAGAGTGCAGTATTACTGCCATGAGCCATACTACAAGATGAAGACCAGAGCTGTCAGTAGCGAGTCCATGCGAGGTAGGAACTGTTGTCCATCCTAGTCCCCGGTTCTCTTCACAGCTGTGAGGGACAGCTGAAATTTCTTCAATAGAGTCCTAGGTACCGGCTGAAGGATCCTAAATTACAATGCCAAAAGAAAGAAAGAAAAAAAAACTATTAGGTTTCAAGAAAAGTGCACACAAGCCGATGGAGAGCAAAGACTCTTAGGGCACCGGTTCCCTCTTAGCACCACAACCGTGCTACCAGTAACAACGCATTAACCACCAATAGCACCAGTACCAGCACAGTCACACCATAGCCACTGCTGACACACCACCAAATACCGATGTCACCACTCATCACTTCCAACACCACCAGTCACCACCATCATACCGACTCCAGCACCACCACCACCACACTTACGGTGAAATGTCCCCTCTGCCTCTGTCTCTTTCTCTGTCTGTCTGTCTCTCTCTCTCTCTCTCTCTCTCCAAACTTTCTGTATATTCTTCCTACCTCTGTAACCCAAGGATTACAGGGACATGCTGCCACATCTAACTAAAATTTCTCTTTAAAATTAAAAAAAAAAAAAGCATATTGCTCAGTGTTAACACACTTGCCTACCACGTAAGGGTCCTTGAGTTAGATATTCAACACTGGAAAGAAGGAGGGAAAGCCTTAATCTTAGTGTCCTCATTTTGAAAAAAAAAAAAAAATGAAGATGACACATGCTTGAAGGTGTCACGTATTTAAATGGGATAATGTGATAAAATGTTCAGTAACAAACATGGAAGATGTAGCCACGGCTGGGCGTGGTGCCGCCCTCCTGGAAAACCAGCAAGTAGATGGCTACGGTGAAAGGATGGAGGCTTCCGGGCCACCAAATTCAAGGCCAGCCCGTTCCTGACAATAAAACTTGTAAAGAGAGATACGAGAAGGAAGACATGGCTTTTTTTTTTTTTTCCCAAGTGGACCTCACCTCAAATATAGACAGTTAAGTATTCTGATTTTTTTTTTAACTCAACAATAAGGCAACACGTGTGGCATATGGGGTCCCGTAACATTTTTTATATATCCATGTGGATTTGAACCAGTTAACTTTGATCCCTGGCTGTGGTTCTCTTTTCTCCAACTCCCTATGTAACATCCACAGTGTCCAAAGGCCTCTGCTGCCTGCTTTTCTGGCCCATCACCTCCAGCCTGGGTTCTAACTCCTCTTGTCCACAGGGGTGTACACCTGCACAGCCCAGGGCATTTGGAAGAACGAAGAGGAAGGAGAAAAGATACCCCGGTGTCTGCCAGGTAAAGGGTGGATGCCCTCCGGGTCATCCCAGGTGTCCTCTGCAGTACTGGGAGAAGAAGCATGGTACAGAGAGAGGAGATCAAGGGAGGCGATGCCTTAGCTCAAAGTGAAGACCCGGTGAGGAGTAAGGAAAAAGGAGAGAGAGTGAGTGCACCGGGAGAAAAGAGAGGCACAGGAAATCTAGACTAGTCCTGGCAGTCTACTGCTCCCACAGACGAGGGATCAGAGAGTAAAGTCAAGGGAAATTCCGGGAAGGAAAAGGTAAGAACAAGGAGAGTTAGCCAAGAATGGGCCATACAATGATCTATGAGAACAGGAAGATAAAGAGGGTGGAAGGGAAACTGAGGACAAATAGGGGCGGGACCTGGGACTGACTGACCCTCATCCCCTCCACCCCCCCACGTCTCTTTGCAGTGTGTGGAAAGCCTGTCCACCCTGTGACACAGAGGCAGCGCATCATCGGAGGACAGGAGGCCGCTGCGGGCAACTTCCCCTGGCAGGCGTTCACCAATATCCACGGGCGAGGGGGCGGGGCCCTGCTCGGAGACCGCTGGATCCTCACCGCAGCCCACACCATCTTCCCCAAGGGTCAGCAAAGAGAAAACGGCAGTAGAGATGTTTTCCTGGGCCACACAGATGTGTACGAGATCCAAAGACTGGGACATCACCCAGTCCGTAGGGTCATCATCCACCCAGACTACCGCCAAGATGAACCTCACAATTTTGAAGGCGACATCGCCCTGCTAGAGCTGGAAAACAGCGTCACGCTGGGCCCCAACCTCCTCCCCATCTGTCTCCCGGACAATGAGACCTTCTATGACCAAGGCCTCATGGGTTACGTCAGCGGCTTCGGGATAACGGAAGATAAGATAGCTTTTAACCTCAGGTTTGTCCGTCTGCCTGTGGCTAATCGGGAGGCGTGCCAGAGTTGGCTCCGAGGGAAAAAGAGTAAGGACGTATTCTCTCAAAATATGTTCTGTTCCGGGGACCCAACCATAAAGCAGGATGCGTGCCAGGGAGACAGTGGGAGTGTTTTTGCCGTGAGGGACCGCAACCGTGATATCTGGGTGGCCACGGGCATTGTGTCCTGGGGCCTTGGGTGTGGCGAGGGTTACGGCTTCTACACCAAGTTACTCAGTTATGTTGACTGGATCAAGAAAGAGATGGGAGAGGAAAACTGAACCCAGAGTTCACCAGCTCAGAACCCAGTGCATATTGTATTAAAAAGAAAAAAAAAAAGTTACCTGACCAATTGTTGATAACCACGATGATGCCCATATTAAAATCACAGATGCGGACAGTGTGTACAATAAGCTTTTCTACAATCCCATCAACATTCTGGTGTTCTGTTTTGTTTTGTTTTCAACATAGTTTGACTATGTAGCTCAGGCTGGCCTAAAATTTACAATCCCCCTGCCTGCAACTCAGGGTTAAAGCTAACGATGTTGGTCTGAAGAGATGGCTGCCCAGTTAAGAGTATGGATTGTTCTTGCAGAAAACATAGTTTGATTTCCGGCACCCCTGTCACATGGCTCACAACTGCCTCTAACTCCAGCTTCGGCCTTTTCAGACATCTGCGTATACCCACAAACGTATACCTAATTATTATTACTTAATGTGCACGTATGTCTCTGTACCGTGTTCATGCGGTTCCCCACCAAGAAACCAGAAGCGGGCACTGGATCCCGTGAGACTGGGGTTATCCATGGTTGTGAGCTGCCGTGTAGGTGCTCGGAACCAGCCCTGGTCCTCTGCAAGAGGGGCCAGGGCTCGTAACCGCTGAGCCACCGCTGCAGCCCAGCCTTCCCTCTTGTTAAGGTGATTGTTTCGTGTATTTTGTTACAGTAATGGAGAGCTCACTAATACTCACTGGTCTTCTTCTGACGAAAGACAACTGATGAGTCACCAGGTGCTGCGCGTGCCTGTAGCGCCAGCATCCAGGAAGTGGAGGCAGGAGGAGCACAAATTCACGGTCATTCCTGGCTAGACAGCTAGGTCAAGGCCAGCCTAAACCACATGAAACTTATTTCAAGGAGGTGGGGGGAGGAGGAAAGGAAAGAAAAAAGTTCTAAAGGCAGGCTCTTTAAAACTCGGGGGGGGGGGGGGGAGGGGGGGGGGGGGGGGGGGGGGACAGGCGGTGGTGGCGCACACCTTTTAATCCCAGCACTCAGGAGCCAGAGGCAGGTGGATCTCTTGAGTTTGAGGCCAGCCTGGTCTACAGAGTAAGCTTCAGGATACCAAGGCTACACAGAGAAACTGGGTCTCAAAAAACAAACAAACAAACAAAAAAGCAAACAATAACAACAAGAAATCACTTAGGAAATAACTCAAAAAACCTCAGGAAGTCCCTGAAATTGACCAGATGAAGCAGGCTTCTCTCCTGAGGCCACGCAGACCAGCCAAGCTGCTTAGAAGAGGCTCAGCTGAGCAGGGCTGCCTGCATGTCCTGCAGTGAGTCCCAGGGCTCCAGCTGTCATGAGCTGTCACTCATGCTGGAGCAGACTTCCAGCAGCGCAGCTGCTGCTGAGTCACTCTTGCTCATGTGCGCAACCCCCGACGCATACTCCTATAAGTAACCCCACTAAAATCATTAGTTCACCAAGTAAATTTTGATGATAGCCTGACTTTGGTCTGCCGTTAACTCCCTACCAGGGAGAATAAATGTTGGTACCCTCCCAGCTATAATATCTATCACGAGTGGCATACTTCCCACTTTGAAGGGCCCCAGACCTCCTACTTAAGAACAAGCAGTACAAAGAGATCTGGAGAGATGACTCAGCAGTTATGAGCACGTGATACTCTTGCCTAGGACCTGGGTTCAGTTCTCAGCGCTCATATTGTGGCTCACAACCATCTGTAACTCCAATTCCAGGGGATCCGATGCCCTCTTCCTGCCTCCATAGGTACCAGGCATGCATGCGGTGCACTGACATACACTCAAATACCCACACACATAAAACAAAAATAAATAAATTGTTATTAAAAAAAGGACAATATACAGGTGACTTTGGACAAATTTCTGTTTTACTTTACATTTAGTTATTTATTCTCTCTCTCTCTCCCCCTCCCTCCCTGTGTATGTGTTTGCGTGTCTGTGTATGTGCATGTTCAGCATGGCACATGTGTAGAAGTCAAAGGACAACTTGCAGGGGTCAGCGCGCTCTTTCCATCATGTGGCTTCCAGGATTCAAACTCAGGTCTTCAGGCTTGGCAGCAGGTGCTTTTACCCACTGAGCCATCTTGCTGGCCCAAACTTGGGCTTTTTTAAAATATGTTTTTTTTTTTTAATTATTTAATTTATTTCATAATGAGGGAGAAATTCTAAGCCATTTAAAAAAAACCTTTTTAATAATTGCTTTATGTGTATGGGTGTTTTGCCTTTATGTATGTCTGTGTACCATGTGTGCCCCGTGCCCAAGGAAGCCAGAAGAAGAGGGTATTGGATTCCCTAGGTCTGGACTTAAGAGTGATTGTGAGCTGCCATGTGGGTGCTGGGAATCAAACCCAGGTCCTCTGTAATAGCAGCCAGTGCTCTTAACCACTGAGCCATTTCTCCAGGCCCTAAGTCATCTTTTTAACAATTAAATTTTTATGTTCTTGTCTGGTTTTTGTCTTTGTTTGTTTGGTAGGTTAGTTTTGTTTTGGTTTGTTTTGGTTTGGTTTGGTTTTTTTGAGACACTATCTTACTCTGTAGCCTTGGTTGGCCTGGAACTCACTTTGGAGATCTGCCTGCCTCTGTGTCCCATGTGCTGAGATCAGAGGAGCCCAGAGCTGATGGAGGGAGAGTGCTCAGCGCTGGCAGGACCTAGAGCAGTCCCAATCTCCTTACCGTGCCTCCTCGGAGCCCCTTTCTGTTGCCTAAGGACTTTCTGAGGGGGAGAGGGGCACTTCTTTTCTTTTCTTTTAATTACATGTATGTGTGTGTGTGTGTGTGTGTGTGTGTGTGTGTGTGTGTGTGTGTGTGGAGGAGGAGAGTGTGTGTGCCGTGGCACAGATGTGGCAGACAGAGAACAATTTAAGGAGTAAATGATCTACATTCTGGGCATTGAGCTCAGGTCTTCAGACCATCTGGCCATGTCTGTTCTCTCCCTGGAAGCCCTTTATTTAGTTTTATTGAGATATGGTCTCTCTAAGTTACCTGGGCTGGCCTTGAACTTGTGCTGTAGCCCCAGCTGGCCTGGAACTTGGGGTCCTTCTACCCCATCCTCCTGAGGGGCTGGAGTGATAAGCCTGTATCACCACCCCTTGCCAGAAAGGGTGGTATTCTCTAACAGCCTCCTCAGCTCATGAACAAGGGCTAAAAGCCAAAGCAGACTAGAGCATCTCACTGAAAACATGTCAATTTTTTTTTCTGTTAACTTGTCATTCTTAAAGCCACACACACTTCTAAGCCCAGCACCTGGGGAAACTGCGGTAAGAGGAGCAGACACTCATGTTCTTGGCTATATGTGAAGTTGAAGGCTGACCTGGTCTACATTAGACCGTCTCAAAGGAAAGTATCAGAGGTCTAGTTCATTTTCTTCATTTTTTAATAGTATCTTAAATAGGAAAAGGAAGGAATTAATCCCCAGAACAGGAGTTGCAGAGGATTGTGACCTACCATATAGATTAGATACTGGGAACCGAACTCTCTGCAAGAGCAGCCAGTGCTCTTTTTTTTTTTTTTTTTAAATTCTTTATTAATTACACTTTATTCACTTTGTATCTCCCCCTGTGATTCCCCCCTCCTCCTGTCCCAATCCCTCCCTTCCTCCACCCTCTGCATGCATGCCCCTCCCCAAGTTCACTGATAGGGGTGGTCTTCTTTTCCTTCCTTCTGATCCTAGTCAATTAGGTCTCATCAGGAGTGGCTGCATTGTCTTCTTCTGTGGCCTGGTAATGCTGCTTCCCCCTGAGGGGAAGGTAATTAAAGAGCAGGCCAATCAGTTCATGTCAGAGACAGTCCCTGTTCCTATTACAATGGAACCCACTTGGATACTGAACTGCCACTGAGCCATCTCTCCAGCCCTCTTACTCCAGGGGAGGGGAGAGGGGTTGTTGTTGGTTGGTTGTCTTGTGTGTTTTACTTATGACACAGGGTCTAGACTCTAACTCTGTAGCCCAAACTGGCTTTGAGTTCACTCTGTAAGTCTGTCTGCCTGGACTTGCACTCAAACTCCTCCTGTTTCAGCCTCCTGAGCAGCTGGGGCTAACAGGCCCAGGGCTTGGCAGGCTGGTTTCTTGTTCTGATTACCTGGTGATGTTTACCCATCTGTCTAGGTGAACTTTTGAACTGAACCATTTATCTCTGTGCAAGATCAGAGTCCTTTCTTGATAAACTCCAAACACACTCCTGTTCATCTGGCAAACACTGTTCTGAAAGCTCACAGCGGACGGGCCAGAGCCCCACCCCCCAACCAGATTCTTTTTTTTTTGTTTGATTTTTGGTTTCTGGTTTTTGTGGTGCTGGGGGTTAAGCTCAGAGCCTTGTGCATGCCAGGCAAGCCCTAGATTGCTGAGCTAAACCTTCAGCCCTATTATTATTTTAAATTATTTTAAATCCTGTGTGTGCATGCATGTATGCATGTCTGCTTGCATGCATGTGCAAACCAGGGCTTACATGTGGAAGGTGGAGGACAGTTTGTGGGAACTGGTCCTCCCCTTCCACTGTATGGGACAAACCCAGGTTGTCAGGGGCAGCAGTGCCTTCCCCTACTGAGCCATCTCAGGGACCCTCATTTGAAGAATTTGTTGTTTCTATTATATTTTGAGACAGGGTCTCACTGTGTAGCTCTGGCTGGCCTGGCATTTGCTATGTGGCTCAGGCTGGCCTCGAACTCCCAGAGACCTACCTGCCTCTTGCTTCTGCCTCTCCCTCTGCCTCCCCAAGTGCTGGAATATAAAGCACACATCACCACACCCAACTCCTTTATTCCTCCGTTTGTTCTGTATTTATGCATATATGTGCATGTATATATGTTTGTATGTATGTGTGTTTATGAAGCTGTATGTGTCAAATTGATCACACGCTTGCCAAGGCACACTGTGTGCAGGGGTCAGAGTACAACTTGGAGTAGCCAGTTCTTTCCACCGATCTGGAACTCAGGTTTTGTCAAGCGTGCCTCTCCAGCCCTGGCCTCTTAGCCTCCATCCTTAACCCTCATGGAAACAGGACAGGTCCTCTGCTTTTGGCTTTTTAAATGCTGTGTTCCCGCCGGGGATACAGGGCAGTTGTCGGAGTGCTTGCCCAGCGGTCATGAAGCCTTTGAGTTCAGTCCTTGGGAGTGCATAAACCTGGCACGGGAGTGCACGCCTGTGA